GCACAGGAGGTCCCTGACTCTCAGAGAGCATTTCCCATGTGAGCAGGACCCTGAATTTAAGGAAATGTGTGGTGGTTTCCTGTGGGTGCCTAAGTGAGGATTTGCATGTGGGTGGTGCCTTTGTATGGAGAGGTGAAAAGGGATGAGGGAGGCCCCAGTCTTTTGGGTTCACACTGTGAGGAGGATGCTGGCTGTGCCCTCTGAGAACCCAGTGGTCTTCCTGTGGCCTCCCCTCGCCAAGCCCAGATTCGTCTTCTTCCAGGTAGGGAGATGTACTGAAGAAGCTGGTCTGTGAGATGAGTGTGATCATGGATCAGGGACAGATTTTGGAATAGGTTCAATACTGTTCTACCCGTGAAGATTTATATGAAACCAACCAAACAGCCAGGTTATCTAAATTGTCAAATCTCCATTCAAAAATATTAGGGCCGCAGCTGAATATGTTAATCACAGTGAGTTCATACAAATCTAAATCCATGCAATTTTTATTGCAATTCAGAACATCCATCATGGGTAGCGGGAAAATATCTGTCCCAGAGAGTGCATCATTTAAGGAAAAAAAAAAATCTGAGAGCTGCTCTTCTGGGACCTTTTGAAATTTGGGATTCTGTCTGAGATCTCAGGAGAAGGTGGTGGCACATGTCTCCATCGTTCTCAATGTGTGACCCTGAGAATGTGGCCTGGCCTGTAAACACTTCTCTGTGAAAATATGTAGATTGGGGATTGCAGTGACAATTTCAGTCAAAAACTGTAATAGGTCAGCACAGGAGGATAGTCTCATCACCAAGTTTAGTGCAATTACCTTTCCTGGGAACCAGAGAGGACATCTGTGAGCCCTCCTCTCTGAGAGCACATGGAACTCTGGTCCTTCCCTGATAGGTCATACCTGTGAAACATGGCTGGAAAATTATACTCAAGTCCAGAGTCCTTACCTACATATTTACCAATTCAGATCCATCTGTCTCTGAAAGACTTTCTCCTCCATTGATTTGCATGAACATACCCTATGGTGTGCGGTATTGCAACTTGGGCATTTGACATTAGTTTTGTGAATTATATAATAAATAATCTGTCTCCATGGATGTGGGTAGCAGGAGAATCACCAGAAGTTGGGAGTGTTGTATAATCAGGATAAACCTGGGCTCTCTCCTGAGGAGCTGAACAAGTGAGCTGACCTGTGGGACAATAGAGGGAAAGAGACAGACCCAACATCCAGAGCCACGTGAACTTCTTACCTATCAGGGGATCTCTGGGCCTTTTGTTTGAACAGATCCAGAAAGACCTTCCTCACCCTCAGAATTATGAACATTGAGGGTAATTGAGATACATTTTTATTTATGGAGAATAATTCACAGGCTTGTAGACATCTATGAGGGTGTGTACAGGGATGCTAGGATATGCTCACACAGAGAACAGAAAGAATTATATTTGGTGGAAAGACAACAAAAGAGCTTCTGAATTTGTAGGTATTGTTTGCCGCAAATATGGCAGGTGGCTAGATCATGTTATAATGCTAGAGATAAAACTTTCCAACAGTGTTATAGAGACAAAATGCAAAAGAGTAGAGATTCAAGTGAAGTTTCTTTGAAAATCAACAGTAATGAACAGTCGAAAAGAAATCAACCATATGGGAAGAGTGGTCATTAAATGAAATAGTAAATTCCGTCTGACAGCTCATTTTCACCTCTGCGAAGACTTCAGAGCATAGACTAAGAGCAGAGAGTGAACATAGGGCAAACAGGGACCAGATGTTTGAGGAGGATGGAGAGTGAGCTGGAGTCATTGTGAGCCATTCAGAAAGGTAGCAGTGTGCCAGAGTGTATTGAGTCCTCCTGAGTTAAGAGGTGCTGAATATACACCTGTATCACTGCCTTCAGTGTATTTTATTCTCCAGATTGTCTTGGATGTTCAGATTTGAACACGTGGAATGTTGATGGAAATCAGCATGACTAGGAACTTTTCAGTGAAGATGTAGGTAACAATGTGGGTGTGATTAAATTTGGGTCGTGAAAATATTATTATCCAAAATGTCAAAGTCAGTGTCTCTTAATATAGCTTTCTTTTTTATTTTACAGGCAAAGACTTGTTCTCTTGCCCAGGCTGGAGTGCAGTGCTGTCTACTAATTTCATAGCATAAAAATGATCAGCCCAATTTATGTAGTCCTGTTATCTTCATCAAGGACTTAGGTCCATGTGGCCTGTGACATAGCTCTAGACACAGGGGGAAAAGAGGTGGTTTGTTGAGTTGATGTTGCTTCTTCAGAGGGGAATTTAAACAGTCAACTCCTCATCTCACCCAGTCTATTTTTATAACTGTGCATGAACCTTGGGAATGCAGTCACGATTTCTTAACGGGAGTTGACTGTGCCATGAAGGAAACAAGAATATGGGTAAATTTAAAGCCTGGGTACATAACCTGCTGAATTAACAAAGCCTAGAGCCAATCACATTCTGGCATCTTGCTTAGTTAGTTGTGAATTTATTTTCAGTTGGTTAGTTCGAGTTCCCATAATTCACTTTCTGCTAAAATAGTCAGATACAATAATCTTCAGATATTGAAATGAAAAAAATAACTAATTTGAAAATGAACCCGACTTCCAAGAGAGTTGAAAATTCCTTTGTGGTGAACGGTGTGAAGCACCACACCTGGTCTACACATATGTCTATGAGTATAAATTTATGTCCCTATAGCTATATAGTTGCTGATGTCAACAAATGTTACTAAAACTCTGCAAGAATCAGTGAAAATAATTAGGAATGTTTATTTCTTGAACGTATATACTTAAACGATACATATATACAGAATTTTAGTAATTCCTAAAATTTAATAATAAATTTATAATAAATACAAGTAATAAAATAACACAGCCTAGAATGCTCCAGAGTTCTGCAAATACAAACCTAACTTTTTTTCCAGCTGAGGAGAAAGGAAACCTCCCCCTGCACCTGCTCCTGGGACTGGTCCTGTCCGCAGTGGGTCCCGAGAGCCCCCTGGTGGCCGCGCGCGCCCCTGCAGGGAGGTTTGTGTCTGGGCTCACACTGATCTCCCCTCACTGTGTTCCTCGCACAGTAATACACGGCCGTGTCCTCGGTTTTCAGGTTGTTCATTTGCAGAGAGGTGATGCTTTTCGAATCATCTCTGGAGATAGTGACTCTGCCTTTCACAGATGCAGCGTAGTCTGTTGTCTCACCATCAGCTTTGTTTCTAATTAATCCTACCCACTCCAACCCCTTCCCTGGGGTCTGGTGAACCCAGCTCATGCCATAGCTACTGAAGGTGAATCCAGAGGCTGCACAGGAGAGTCTCAGGGACCCCCCAGGCTGTACCAAGCCTCCGCCAGATTCCATCAGCTGCGCCTCACACTTGACACCTGCAAACAAAGAGACACCAAGGTCAGAAACTGCCACAAATATCCACTGTTTCTCTCACTCATGTCCCCTCACACTCAACATCTCTAGATCTCCATGAATTACCTTTTAAAATAGCAACAAGGAAAACCCAGCTCAGCCCAAATTCCATGGTTGGTAGTCTGTGTTCAGTGCTGATCACCAAATGGAAACTCCTGGGAATCCCAGGGCTGAGCTCCTCTCCCAGAGCTGCAGGGTCAGGGCTGGGCTGGATTTATCAGCAGAGGGAGGGCCCTATTTGCATGTCTCCTACTATATAGTAAGCTCTGGGGTGGGATGCCTGAGGAGAAGATGGGTCCAGATAAGGTGACTGTGCCTTGCAAGAGTTTGGTGACAATGATGGTTTTGGAAAATACGCTGTCTTATTATAAAATTTTGCTGTGATAAGCACTTTGAACTGATTACACTATTTTAGTTTTACTTATTTGTGTAAATTACATTTTGTTAGAATCAATGTTTCTTCATGTACAGATGTGGAAGTAAACCACACATGGAAAATTAGTCTTGCCACTTTGGGAAGCAGAGTGGAGATTTCTCAAAGAACATAAAACAGAGGTAGCATTTTACCCAGCAAATCCACTACTGGGTCAACACTAATAAGACCTACTTTTTGAAAGCACAATAGGTGCCTATAGTCAATAATAACTTAATGGTATATTTTAAAGAAATTTAAAGAATGTAATTGGATTTTTTTGTATTTCAAAGAATAAAATATTGAGGGGATGGACACCTCATTCTCCATCATGTGCCTATTTCATATTGTATGAAAACATCTCATGGAACTGGTAAATATATACACCTACTATGTACCAACAAAAATTTTATAAATAACTAATTTTCTAATTGAAGGCAAATGTTCAAAGGAAATAAAGTGATGAAAGTTTAAAGAGAGACACTTTCTAAGCAGTGAGTAACTACTGTGAAGCCCCTACCAATATGCACATACATGTTAGATTTTAATTTTTTTCTTTTTCTTCCATGCACAGAGGAGCACATTTTAATAAACAAATGTAAGGTTTCTTTTTAGTGGGGATGTGGTAACAGCGCAGAGCAGATAAGGTGACAGGTCCTTCTTCCCTGCTACTTTGTGTGCAGCCCCTGCTGTGTGAAGGTTGAAATAAGGTCCTGACTCAATCAGTAGAACGTCACCACTCATACAAGGTGAAATGTCCTGGAATCAGAGGCAGATTCCACTGAGACTTCTTTCCCTACTGTCACACATGTTTTGGTACTTTTTGCAGTATCTTTTATTATTATTATCATTATACTTTAAGTTCTGGGATACATGGGTATACAGGTGCCATGGTGGTTGGCTGCACCCGTCAACCCATCATCCACGTTAGGTATTTCTCCTAATGCCATTCCTCCCCTAGCCCCTCACCCCTCAACAAGCCCCGGTGTGTGATGTTTCCCTCCCCATGTTCACAGGTTCTCATTGTTCAACTCCCACTTATGAGCGAGAGCATGTGGTGTTTGGTTTTCTGTTCCTGTGTTAGGTTGCTGAGAATGATAGTTTCCAGCTTCATCCATGTCCCTGGAAAGGACATGAACTGATCCTTTTTTATGGCTGCATAGTATTCCATGGTGTATATGTGCCATATTTTCTTAATCCAGTCTATCCTTATGGGCATTTGGGTTGGTTCCAAGTCTTTGCTATTGTTAAGAGTACTGCAATAAACATATGTGCACATGTGTCTTCATAGTAGAATGATTTAAAATCCTTTGGGTATATACCCCGTAACGGAATTGCTGGGTCAAATGGTATCACCTACTTTGCAAGAAAAATAATTTAAAAAACAATAAAAAAAAAGTCTCCCGGACACAGCTGTATTCCCAACACTTTGTGAGGCCAAGGCGGGTGGATCGCTTGAGCCCAGGAGTTGGACACCAGCTTGGGCAATATAGCAAAATCCCGTCTCTACAGAAAATACAAAGATTTATCCAGGCTGAGTAGTGAGCACCTGCCTGTAGTCACAGCTGTACAGGAGGGTGAGGTTGGAGGATGGCTTGAGCCCAGCAGGTGGAGACTGTTGAGCGATGATTCAACACTGCATTCCACCCTGGGCAGCAGAGCAAGAGGAAGACCCTGACTCGAACAACAACAACGACAACAACCACAACAACAAAAATAGAGTCAAATGTCAACGTTTTTAGTTTTCCTTTCTTTCCTAAATGCAAATTTGTACTATGAAACAATAATCCATTCTAATTGTCTTAATAGTTTTAGTAGAACTCTCATAGAAAATAAAGATAGATATTTTAATACAGAGAAAATGTATTTTATAATACTTCAGATATCAGTTTAATAGATATTGTCACCAAATTAAAAACAAATCACTGCCTGCATTTAGTCTAAAAGAAGCCCTAGAAAAGTATCAAGGAAGAATGCTTTCTAAAGATAAATATGTGCTTTCTATATGTATACATTTTACTTTGGGGAATACATATTCTCAATTTTAAGATAGGGACCCAGTAGAAATAATAATGGAGTGGACTGTTAAAAATCTCTTTCTGTTTGAGTCAGAAAGTTTAGATTAAAGGCTTACAATAAAAGTGTTTCCAAATCATATGAGTTGTTTAGTTCAAATCATTTTCTCTTGAAGGTACTTTTGATTCATGGCAAGAATTTATATTGAAACAAAATGTATATAAAAGTCAGCATGAACTTCTCTAAGTGGTTGAGAGATCATCTAGTTTATCACAGACAAAAATTGTAGTATAAAATAAACACAAAATGTTACTATTTTAAATTTGATCTATGTTATGTAAAATATAAAGAGAAATTTTGTGATTATTTTTCTAACTTATGAAGCTAGCAAAATTATTAAAAATCAGGTAAGTTAGAGTGTGGTTAGTCTTCCACTT